TCTGGGCCGGACACTGAGCGGCACCGGGTGGGGAAAGGCCCCACGGAGGAACTGGGTGTCGCTCTCACCTCCTTCCCGCTGTTTTTCCCTGCTCAGAAGCGGGGTACGTCCTACCGAGGGGTTGCAAACGGGACAGGAGGGACAGTGATAGAACATAAGCTCCGCACCTGGAAAGTGAATTTAAAATCAAAACAAATCAGTGAAACAAATAAAGAAAAAAATCACACCAAAAAGAATTAAAAAAAAAAAAAAAAAAAAAAAAAAAAAAAAAAAAACACCCCAAAAAAAAAAAAAAAAAAAAAAAAAAAAAAAAGTAAAAAGCAAGTTCACTCCTTTCCGCGAGACCATATTTATGGAAAAGAGTGTGCATTTCAAGCCTTGTCTTTACGATGAGTTATTTTTTGCCTAGGTATAAGCTGGCTACGAAAATAAAAGAGCAGAAGAAACGTCGCGAAAATGGGGCTCATCTCCCTTCAGCTGGTGCTGAAAGTCAAACCTCTCTTGGAGACTCGGCTGCTCTGTCTGCTCACCCTGGGCTGGAGCTGAAGTTGGCTTTCTGCATGCTCGCCAAAACATCCCTAACAAAGAGTTTGCTGAGCCTCTGGAAACCTCAACATTTAGCGATTATGTGAAGTACAGATGAAAGTATTGAAGTTTTTGCCACCTCTTCTCCTGCCTCTCCTCTCGGTTTCTGCCTCTATACCTCTAATAAGGAGAGATGTACTTAACCAGAAAAGAAGGGGCATTGGCTTATTATTATTGTTATTATTATTATTATTATTTCCAAAGGAGATGCACCGTGAGGGTGCATTCGCACTGGAAGCTTTTAGGTAAGGAATTAGATTTTTTTGCGTGTGTGTGTGGGTACAGAGAAAGCTCTAAATTTATTTTTTCCTTTTCTGAAAAAAAGTTAAATACTTTTCTCCCGCCAAATTTCCGTTACTTCACCTAATATTATCTTTTCATCGTTCTACACGTTTTCATTTCAATATCTAAGTCCTGCAGAAAAAAAAAAATTAAAAAAAAAGGAAAAAAGGAGTAATTAAAAGAAAATACTTTAGAAAGACCTCCCACGATATCCACAGTATCTGCACCTCCACTTTTCTAAAAAATAATTTTCATGTGTACAGCCATAAGCAGTTAGGTTTACATATATGATAAGACGACAAGGATGAAGAGACAAGGCAGAAAATTTAAGTGTGAAATGATGAATACTGGGTTTAGAGGACGATAGTTATTAAAAGTATTGATGGGGGAAAAAAACTCAAAAAAAAAAAAAAAAAGGTGGGGAAAAATAATGAGAAGATGTGGAACTGGATTTATTTCATGCATTTATTTATGTTCAACCCGGCGCCCTGTCTCATCTCCGTGGCTGCAGCGGCCACCCGAAATCTGAGCATTATTAGTGCTGTTATATATTCATTTGTTTATCTATCCTTGAACGAAAACCCAAGAAATCGCCGACTCCGATGGTATTTCCATCACCCAGGATGATCGATGCAGACCCGTATTTTTAGCAGTAAAAGGCCGATAT